TTGAAAACTCGAGATTATTTCCTAATTTTGAAAAAAATTGTACACAGAGTACACAAAATTCGGCGAAAGTACACAATTAATCCGAATTCTGAAAAGTACAAAATAATCCAAAACGAAAATCGATAGTACACGTGTGTACCGAAAGTACACGTTCTGGCAGCCCTGGCCTTTTCCTTATCGCTTTAGCAAGATTCCGGAAATTGAATTTCATTGAGAATCAAAACAAATATTTCCGGAATAAATTGCTGTTGTTGGTCCACAGACAATTACCCCCAAAAATTCACTTCTGTATTAATTTTGTTTAGTTATGCCAAAAGATTCTAGAATCTAAATTATTATTTTTTCCATTTCATTAGATTAATTTAATTTTAAATAAAGAGATTTTCTGATCGAAACCGACACATTCCGCAACTCCGGATCAACCATAAATTCGGCAATAGCGCAGCGACACTGGCAACACAGTGAGGTTAGGAAAAAATTTGCTCTTGAAGATTCAAACGTCAAATTGCTCACATTTATTTTTATTCTACAACTAAGAGCAATCGGGGTGTGATAACGTTAGCAGTCTGTTAAAATTTTATTCAGTTCGTTTATGTGTTTCAAGTTGTAATCATGTCTTATTGCATCCGGGTCCTCAACCGCCAGGTACGTGTTCTCATAAATCAAAGTTGAATTTTTTCTTCCCTCTCTTGTCAATGGGAGGATCCAGACCAATTGACTATGACTAGTGCTCCATTTAAAAATCCGTTGCCTGCAATTTGACCTAGATTCTTTCAAATTGTCAGCTTTGCTTCTCTAAAATTCATCGAGTAACTCATTTCTCTGAACCTACAGCCTGATCTCTCAGCGCCAGATTTTCTGAGAGTTTGTGTGCCCACTTCATCAATTTTAGACTGCAATAATTTGCTCTAAGATTATGAACCTATCAATGATCAATAGTGCACCGCATGTTATCCATGACCCTTAGCGTTTGTAACGTTTGCATCTAAATTTGCGACTTTTTTCACAACCACACCCATGTCATTGCTCGCAAGCTATCGCAAGTACTGTTTTTTGCAACTTTCTTTAGAACAGTCCACTTCACCTCTACCAAATCCTCCATTGACCCTGCAGTAATTTAAGAAACTGTATGAAAATGAATTGAGAAATGCACGAGTATGTTTGCTTGCAGTGGACGATGCCCATGAATCTTTAAAGGCTTCTAAATATTCGCAAGTTATGACTAACTTTCAGCTCTCTTCATTTTCTCGGGCCACATCTTTGTCTATGTCCATAGCACTCTACCAGCAAATTCTATTAATTTGAGCAAAGAGAATTGGTCAAGATTAACGGTCATGGCATTGGTTATGGTGTACCTTGAATCGAATTGGCGTCTTACCGCAGGTGCCGATCAGATGCTCGAACATTGTGTGAACTTTGGCGAAATGAATTTGACAAAGAAGACTTACCTCAGCCAAAATGAGTCTAAAGAAACGCTGCAGTTTGTCAAACTATAACAAAACATTCAAGTCTGGATTAGGTCTCATTCTGTGAAATCTCCAAGAGCGGACTCATCGTATGTCGAGAGAAAAGTCAAGTCTCGTTTAGGTCACCACTCATCAGTGGTGCCATCTGACTGCATGTATTAACCTGTTGAGTGGTGCTGATTCGGGGGTAATCAAAGATTGACATTTGTCTCAACATAATGCGTCCTCTCTAAGCAGTCTGTTTCTGGTTAGAAAAATAACCTTTTTAACCAGTAAATTGCGGTATCTCATCTCCGATCTCTAGTCTAAAATTGTATAACTAATACAAATCATCCCGGCACTCAAATGTTTTCCTGGTAGAGCATCCATCCAACTTTTGATTCTGACCTAATGTCTTGTACATAATCAATTATGACCAAGGATGCTACCTAATTTGGCTCTACTGTACATGTAGCTCCAAATTTAGCGATTTTTAGGGCTACCAATACTTTTCATAAGTTGGTATCTGTTGCATGGAAGAATAATTGCGCCAGGTAAATTCATATCTAGAATGTTTTACTGTCAAATTGGCTGAGTAAATGTTTTTCATGGTTTCTGCATGGTGTGGCGTTTGGGCAGAGTCTTAAGTCAAAAGTGTGGAATGGCCATAGAAAAAAGACTGAAGTACAAACTGTATGTTGCACTGTTTGCAACATGTCTAAGGGATTGAGTAAAACATGAATTTTCTCCATGTCAACACTAAAACATTGAAACTTAGTCTTTGAGATAAGAGAAAGTAGATACCTCAAATCTTGCCCTTTCCCACTTTGGCAAACATTTTTTCCCGATGTTCAAGTGAGTAGTCACTACACCAGCATCTCCTCAGTAATCTCTCAAGCACCCTTGAATTTGCAGGTGCTTATGACTTCGTGGAGATAGTTCGATTAGTCTCGTATCAAATATTTAATGCATGATAATGCCCAGTCAAAATTGTGTTAATTTTTAATTCCACATACTCCAGGATTAGTACTTGGTCTCTACTCTATATGTTTACCTATCTGCCTAAAAAAAAACAGGAGTACATAAATATCCTCCTCTACACCATAGGGATGGTGACAAATTTAGTCATCCTACCCCCCCCCCCCTCTCTCTCTCTCTCTCTTTTTTCAAGTAGCATCAGTTGACACAAAACATGTACCTACAGTGACTTACTTCTTCCTGGGTAATTAAAAATCCAAAAGAAGCGTCAGAAAAATATTTATTAAAGAATAAGAAAGAGCAGATAGAGAATATGTCGAATTTTAGCATTCTTGAAAGTAAATTTCTAATCTAGAATGATGTGAGATCGCAGATCACAAGGCTTGTGCTTTTTTTTTTGCCCACCTAAGTACCTGTCAAGAGGAGTCTTGCTCACTACCATAATCCTAATAATATGTGAGATGAGACAAGATAGAAGTCTCATTAAAGCAAAACCAAATTAAACTTTTTTTAATTGCCTAAGAGAAATTTGGCATTCTTATCAGCATTCTTTAAGCCATGTGGAAGCATGAAGAATCAGAGACCAGCGTGCTATGTGCCCTCCGCGAATAAAATTACATTTTAACAATAAGCACTTAATCTGTCAATGATAGCCGAATCGGGGAAGACAATGTCTTGTTTTTGAACCCCCCACCCCCCGTCGTGCGGTGGACTCGATAAACGCATGTGAACTCCTCTCCACACGGCTGCCATTCGAACTAAGTCCACAATTGTTACCCTGCATTCCTCCCAATTATCTCCGCACTATTTGGCAGATGAGCTTTGAAAAAGTTAAAAATACTCTCGTCAGGTGATGCACCCGCGGTTTCGCGGACGAAGGTTGGGCGCCAAAAATAATGCCCCAGAACGTGGCCCTTCTGATACAAGAGCGTAACTACCTATGGAGATGAGCCCTGAAAAGCATTAACTACCTATGGAGATGAGCCCTGAAAAGCATTGCATTTTATGGGCGGCAGAGTTCATCGCAGGGTCTAGTTACGCCTTCGTGTTAGGAAGCCGGTGCGGTAGCGGTTGTGGGTGAAAATTTTCATTGATTGTCGGGCGCGCGCGAGAAGCATGTGGATGGTTGCCATCGATTCCATTTTTAAGCCTGGCTTTTGGCAGCCTTTAAGCCTCTTCACTCTTATTTGTCTAACGACTAGGACGTCCGCATTACACCCTCTCTGATGCAAATGACCTGCAGGGGTGGGAGTAACAACCGTGATTTCTGATGCATTTGACCTATCGATGGTCGAAGTCCCGAACCATGTATCTCCGTCGCGGTGTTTCGAAAGTTCCGCTCTAATTTTGTTTTTCGAATATAAATAGACCGAACGTATAGATAAAAATTTTGTATGGAATATTCTGCTCACAGAGAGGTGAAGTCGAGGAAGTTCTCAAGAAATTGCGTTAACTACTTAGTTTTCCAAAGAAAAAATTAAGTATGATAGGAAGTCCGTCCGCCGAGTCCGCCCTTTCAGGTCCTGAGCAAAGATGCGAAATTTTATGAAACTTCATGTAATAAAATTTCATGAATTTTTTAGAGAATTCTGCAATGCGCTCAGGATGTCATGAAACGCCTAGTACAGAGGCAGCAAAATCTTCATTATGACATTTTGAAAAAAAAAAAAAAATGTTTCAAATTTAAAAGTTTGCTCGAAAATCAAGTAAGTAGTCGTAACATATGCAAAATTGCGTTTAGTAACTCCACATGACGGCCAGTAAGTTGCCTTAAAAAAATATGCGCTTTTGTCTTTGCATTTTTAATGAAAAAGAAACAAATATTATTGCTATCCATTAGCGAGAAGGGTTGAACAAGTGTAGGGAATCCATCATAGCATGTGTTCTCCGGCTAACACTCACAATCGCGGCGCGCGTCTGTCATGGTAACGTCTTGATACCACTATTCGTGTTCCATGGTTGTCCGTGTTGCATATGGAAATAATTGAAGGCGTTTTGACTTTTCGCGTCCTCCCCTCGAATGTTAATATTTCTGGCGAGGAATTTTTGACATCTAAGGAACTGGGGTTCCAACCCAAGAGTAGTCAATGACACCTTAAAGCACAGAGGAGTTTTCTTAGAACATTTTGGTACCGAACACGTCCAAAATTTCAAACTAAACCAGAGTGTGGTGGTTTGTTTGTGGTTCCAAAAGATAGTTTCAAGAGGAAAATATCTAAAATTCCCAGCCGAAGAGCACAAAATTACTGGAATATGATCGCTCCCATATTAGTTTGTAATACCCCAGAGAGATTGAACTCCTAAATTTTGAAGATGTTCTTGAACTAATCGTTGGCCATCGATTCTTCGGTTCATCTTTGGTCAAAGTCGCCAAATGCTCACCTATGATCGCAACATTGCAAATTTCCGCTTAGGTTTCGCAGATTTTCTCGGAATTTTCTGCATATTTCCTAGCCTTATTCTCAGGAATTAAAAAATGCCCCATCTCGCGATCCGCGAGGCAAAATCGGGTCATGGAACAATTTTCAAAAGTAATGAATCCTTTTGTTAAAGTAATGAATAGTTTTTTTTAAAATTAGGAAAAAGTACACATTTTGCCGTAAAATCAGGCATTTGTGCGTTCAATTCCAGCCGTGAAGGATTAATGCCGGATCGCAAACAGACGTCGTTTCAGAAATATTTGCACCCCTTGCTCATTCTAAAAGGTTCACAGAACATTTCAAGGTGATAATTGGCTCGGTTACTGAAAAAGCAATCGAACACAATCGAAGATTTTGAAATGTTTTAATGTAGATAGGCACTTTTCGGCTCGAGCCATCAACATTTATTTCGATGCTATTAGGTATCTATTTATTTTCAAAAAAATATCAAGGTGATAATCGGCTTGGCTTCTGAAAAAACAGTCAAGCTCAATCGAAGATTTCGAAACGTTTCAATGTAGATAGGCATTTTTCGGCTCGAGTCATCAACATCTATTTCCATGCTACATCTTTCAACTTGTCCAGTGATCAATGGACTACATTTTGCAATTTCGAACAATAATTTCTAGCTCATAACTATAAACACTTATGTGCATAGGGAAACTAATGGCACATACGTTGTTTCTGAACTGAGTCAGTTGCAAAATTCGGGACTACAAGAGCGACCACTCGGCTGACCGATGGGTTGGAAAAGTCCATTGCGCCAGTGTCGAGTACCATGGAGCCCATGTGCTAATTATTGAAGGCACGTGATTCGCCATCAGAATTGCGCGGTTGCCCAGGCGATCTTTTTCACGCCCCGACGCGCTAATCTTGCCCAACTCCGCCGCCCGCGTCGGCCGGCTAAAGTCATACAACTTATCTGAAATTTACCAAAGCCGTGTAATCGGAGAAAATAGTTGTTGATTAGCAACTATGACCTTAGGTATGAAAGCGCATGTCGGAAATCCTGGAATATTTTCGTCGGAAATGACGCTTACACAGCGCACCCTGCCTTGCGAAACACTGTGAGCTACCTTTCGGAAATGTTGCCGCAACGTGGTCAATGTCAACCCATTTCGTGAAAATGTTGCTGACCGCATGGTACTTTTTGAAGCGTATGGCATCTCACGGTGTTCCTAATTCCTGTTAGGTTTAGCAGCCAATTTGGCTGTCAAGCCTAATTTTAAGGAGCAATACGCAATATTTTTAGGGGACGCATGGTGCGTCAAGGTGCCTTCAAGAATTCGCGGTGGGTTGCGTCTGACCATTTTAGGCGCCACGTTTGGTCAATACTCTACGTTTTTCTTATACCTCTACCCCCTGAATCACAGTGTACACCTTCAGCGGGGGAAGGTGGGGGGGGGGGGGGGCGGCCCTTCCTTCAGAAATCCACTTGACCCCTCATGAGAAATGTGAGCGAGTTATACGTAAGTGCGTGACGTCTCCCTGGTAAAAATTGGCGATAAGAGCTGCGTTTCAAAATACCATTGGAATTCTTATAGCCGGATAAAGAAGGCTACAGAAAATCATATAACTGGCTGTAGAATGCGGAGAAAATCATACGGCCGGGCTATACGAAGCGATAAAAAATTATGCAGCCGGGCTATAGTTCCTATCGCCGGGCTTTACACTTTATTGCCTGGCTGTTGCTTTTTCGCCATCGATTATAAAAGGCTATAAGGAATTGTGTAGAAATTCGTGTGCTTTGGAAATCATTGAGTTTGATACGGAACCACCTTAATATTTACAAAACACACATTATATTTTCCTTTAATACATATTTTTGTTCATCAATTAAAATGAGAATAATCCATACAGGATGTGCAAACATTTCAAAATCATGAGTTGAATAACGCTGACTCCGCCAGATTAAATATTAGAGCCTAACACAACGTGGAGCGGCGACGCACTGGCGCCTGCAAACCTAACAGGGATACTTCACGCATTGCGCAACGCGTGAAGTATCCCTGTTAGGTTTGTAGGCGCCAATGCGTGTTTCGCGCTGGCTGCCCGCCTGCCACGGCGCTCGAAGCAACTATTCCACACCAGAGGTATTGCACAGCGTCATACGAAACTGAAGGCGCTCTAATATATTAGTAATGACATGCATCCATCAAAAGTACAGAGCTTTCCTCGCAAAATAAACCAAGATACTACGGCCCAAAAAGAGAGCAGTATTCCAAAAACTCACTAAGTCCTAGCATCCGTAATTAGTAACTTTTAGCATACACTTTATCGCCTGGCTGTTGCTTAATCGCCATCGGCTATAAAAGGCTATAAGAAATTGTGTAGCTGGCTTTAGAAGTTATTGGAAATCTTACAGCCGGCTGTAGGTCTATGTATTTTGGAACACAGATTCTTCTACCAATTTTTACCAGGGCTCTCATCTTTGAAATTTTAATTGGATCAATTTTTCGGCGATATTAGCTCTAAATTGCGCCTAAGACAATTCAATTTTCCAAATTTTCCGAGGCAAATTCCTCGAAACTCCTTTGCTACTAATAAGGAGATTCCCCTAGCTCTCCTTTTAAGCTAAGATAGTCCTACGTATCTCTCTTGATAGGGTCTCTTAGTTTTGAATAATTTAAAGGTCTTGACAGACCACCAAAAATTCAAATTCCATTGAGTAATACAATTGTTTCCTCTTTTTCCAGGTGCCTCTTGGCCGGGCTGCGGTTGAAATCCAGCAAAGATGCTTCCATGTATCACCCCTAGTCTCAGCCGCCGCGAAGGTGGCAATGAGCAAATTCGACACCGAAACCTACCTTCCATACGAAAAATTAGAGTCGAACATCAACATTGTCAAGAAGAGGTAAGATATTAAGGGGTAAGAATGAAGTCTTGGATGTTCACAGTCTAACAGATTCACGAGCGTAAGCCAAGCTTTAAGTAACTCAAATGCACAAATACGTTTTAAAAGTCATGACTGTCAATCTTGGAAAAGTTACTTTTATTTTAATGTTTCTCTTTTTACTGCAGAATTTCAGTGTATCTTCTAAAAAATTCTTATTTTTTCTTCTTTATTTTGGGAGGGAGGGCGTAGGTGGTGTGTCAGCAAACATGCGAAAAGGCTTCTGAATCTTAAGACCAGATGATGAATTTAGAAAAAAGTCAAATTTATACAGCTCAAAGGCTTTGAGTATGCTATCAAATTTCTATTCTTTTTTTTGTGGTCATTTTGCAAAATTTTACGTCTGTCTCAATTTTGCGTTTTTATAGTGATGTGTAGGAAGTAAAGTGGCAACTTTTTTTTCCTCATTTACTGCGAATATACAATACTCAGGGGTTTTAAAGTTATTTTTCCTTTCTTGCATCTAAAAATTGCACATCACAAAAAATTGCTGCATCAGGTCTCTTACAAATAGCGTTATCTATTTCATAATGTTCGATAGTTTTTCGTTTCATCGCAGGAAAATAGTAAGTAGCGCCAAGTCTCTAGGCCAGTGCCCTTTACTCCAGTAATCTTTGTTGGCATTCAAACTGCGATGTTGTGAAATTAAACTCTGACCTACTTAGTATTATGAAATGGATGCTGCATTACACACACTACTAGGATTTTCTAATCCCCTCATAAATACATATCTCAGCATATTTTAAAATGATTCTCATGCATGCCTTTTCATTTTTTTTTCTCCCCCTTAGTTATGATTCATATGTTTGGAATCTAGCAAAATTAGGAAAGTCACCAATGTTTTGAGTTGACTGAAGAAAGTCATATCCCTCTCTGGACACAACAAAAAATGAGACCAACGTCTATCACACTTATCTCCACAGATTCCCTTCAAATTCCATCACCTTTCTCACTTTGCCTGAGACCTCTGTCAATGAACAAATTATCTTATCTGGTAGAGTCTTAATTGTCATTATATAGAAAAAAAATTCAGATAACATACCATCATTCATCTGCTCCACCTGTGATCATTGAGTAATCAGAGTTTTTGTTCGTACCTGGCCTTTGGGAAGGGGGCTGTAATTAATATATCATGTTGAAATAACTTTTGTTTGGTAAATACTTATTAAAGGCACTTATCACCACAAAAAATCTAGCATAATCAAAGAATAAAGTTGATCTTTTTTTAAATTATTTCATTGCAATGAGAATGTAAGGAAAGATGAATAATTTTCTCTATGGGAAAGTGTCTGTTTATTACATTTGATACATTTCCATCACTTACAGGAAATTTCCATCTTGCAAGTTAAGTCCAAACCTACAACTGACTTGCTAGTATTCTGTCAATTTTTTTCATCCGAGCTTAACAAAAATTGGAAGTTCATAACCAAATTATTGATGTAAAACATTTTCCATCCTCTTGAAATGAATAAGATCAAAGAACTACAAACGAAATACTGTGAAATTTAGTGCCGGATAAATTTAAAGACTTTTTGATATGGTGTTCCTTGTGATATCTTGAGTAAGATAAGCTTTTAAAATCGATCTTTTCATTTGCCTATCTCGAGAAAAGTGGGTCAAAAAACTGGGTTTTTTTTTCTGGTAGTTTTACACACATTGTCGAATAGAAAAATGAAGGTGATCCAGGAGTGAGCCTCCTCTCTTTTTTCAAAACAAAAAGCTCCACATCTTTGACTCAGCGAAGTCAAAGGTGTTATGCTATTCTTCCGTTTGGTCACGTGTGTTAAACTGCCGCAAAATGCACTTTTCGGACCCAATTTTTTCAAGATCGGCATGCTGATATGCAATCTCAATGCATCTTTATGCACTACAAATACTCATCTGCTCATCTTCCTCTGAAGATACTTAGGAGCATTGTATAAACAAATCCTGTAATTTAATCCGCACCAAATTTCTTGGGATTCTTTGCCTAGTCCAGTTTCATTAACATAAAATCATTTCCATTAATTAAAATCATCCCATGGAGTTGTTAGACTGTTTTTTACACTCCTAAAACTGTTTTTTTCTGTACAGATTGAACCGACCCCTGACACTTTCAGAAAAGGTCCTCTACTCTCATCTTGATGATCCAAAAGGACAAGAAATCGAGCGTGGCACAAGCTACCTGCGGCTACGACCTGACCGAGTCGCTATGCAGGATGCTACAGCTCAGATGGCCATGCTCCAATTTATCTCATCAGGACTTCCTCAAGTTGCTGTGCCCTCCACCATCCACTGTGACCATCTCATTGAAGCTCAGGTATCAATTTGCAGAAAATTAATCGAAGAAAGCTTTACTGAAATATTTAGAAGATCATGTCCAATATTATTTTGTCTCCTGAGTATTTGGATATCCTAAATAGGCTCTCTAGAGTCAAAGTTCCAATGATAATTACTTATTTTGTTGACAGCTGCTTGAGAAATAGTATAGTCAAAAATGCACCTTTAAAATACAACATACCGTTTTGGGGGGAAAGGCCAAATAAATGTAACAATGAAAAGAAAAAAATTCCAGATTGTTATGCCTTATTTTTAACCGGCAAAATGAATGAAGACTAAAAGAAAATATTAAAATTAAAAAAAAAATGGTTGCAAAACTCATGCTCTACCAATGGCGAGGCGTGAGTAATCAACTATTGATGATTTTCCATTTGAAGCTATGGTTAAGAATCGATTGTTAAAATGTTTGTTACAAAAACTCTGATAGTCGAACCTTTTCTATAGGTCTCAGTGACAGATCAATTGATTCATTGCAAAGTATGAGTAACTGCCTCTGTGCTCTACATTATTGACTGTAGCGTCTCTACTTCTGCAGTTTAATTGGTCATTCTTAGAAAGACTTAAGCGCCAGAAATGAAAGTATAAGGAAATCAATAGAGCCTGTATCAATCGACCCCTTTTAAATTAATGATTAATTAATTAAATGCTCCAATATTTTAAAACTGTAAACGCTAATTTTAATAGTTTTATCTGTTTTTCCCTAATTTTCATTTCTGGTGCTCAAGTCTTACTGAGAATCACTGATTCGATTGTGATGCCAGTCACAGAAAAATTCTCAGGGCAAGAACTATTCCAAAAAGCCGATCATGGATTGTCAGGCTCCTTTCAGCACTGTATTGAAGTATCAATAATATTGTACCATTTTTGTCCATATAAGGTCTATTTCGTTGCTGACCGCTAGGCACTTACTTTCTTTATCAACTTGTTATGATTAATACTTAAAAAAACGGTGTGTTCTCTGTCGTAATTGTATATCCCAAGAGGTATGCGTGCATTTAAGGTAGCATGTTAGATCCATCAGGAACTCTAAATTTATTTTTGTGAAGGAACAGAAAATTTGTCATTTTATATCCTTATCCGGGTATTCAATCCAATTGATTGTCAGAACTGAATTTTTTCAGATTGGTGGCGAACAAGATTTAGCTCGTGCCAAAAGCCAAAATGAAGAAGTCTACAACTTCTTGAAGTCTGCTGGTGCTAAATATGGTGTCGGATTCTGGCATCCAGGATCTGGTATCATTCATCAGGTATGCATCTATTTTTCTCTTCCACTTAAGTTCACGTAATTTTCCTTCTTTAATATTAAAATTAAACTAAAATTTAACTGAATTAAGTGCTCTTTGTTCCTCATGGAAGTATATTAATTATGAATAAACTTTCTGTTGAAGTATTTTTACCACGGACATTTTGTGTTACTGAATCATGACAATATTTTATATAATTTAAAACGTTTAGAAAATTGCCGAGCGGTTTTGTTTTTCCTTTAAAATAGTGTGGAACTGGACCCAGCAAATTCCTGCTATACAGTTTCTTACAATTTTTGGGCTGTAATTATTTGTTTTCATACCATTTTAAATGAAAAATAGGGACTTTTAAGTCCAAAGAAGGAGAAAGATTATGTACTTGGTTTAGGGCCCTCTATATTTAGTGTCTGCAAAACTCCATGTGATAAAATTAGGTGTTAAATAATTCAATTAAAAGAAGATCTCTTTGTCCAAGTATTGAATAAACTTTTTCACCCAACAGTATTCAATTTTTATGTGTTTTCCATTACTAATTTTGAAATGAACTTATTTTCCTCTCACGCCACAGATCATATTGGAAAACTACGCTTTTCCAGGATTGCTCATGATTGGTACAGACTCTCACACCCCGAACGGAGGAGGTCTTGGCGGTCTATGTATTGGAGTTGGTGGTGCTGATGCTGTTGATGTAATGGCCAACATCCCTTGGGAACTCAAGTGTCCCAAAGTCATTGGAGTCAAGCTCACCGGAAAACTGAAGGGCTGGACTTCTCCGAAAGATGTCATCCTGAAAGTTGCCGGAATCTTAACGGTAATCTACTCTTTGATTCTCTCATTGTTCTCTTTACAGGAAATTGACTTCCAACAATAGAACATTTCGTCCAATTATCTCTTATGGTTTTGAATAGATGAGTGAAATGTGCACCAACAAGCGAAAACAATTTTGTAATTAAATAATGCACACTACCAAACATGATGTCTACTCTAGCAAGGATAGTATAAGCTATTCGCTTATGTGTGTGCATGTGCTGTGTTTGATGTATATCCAAGCTTTTGAAGGCACCGTGTACGATCCACTCAGAGCATTGCCGGTTGCGATCCGAATTCACATTTTCAGCATTTTTGAACCGTGTCAACATCCACGTCAGGCCTTCTCTCAGAAATATATTTGTCTCCATTAAATAAGTGAATATGAGCTTTTAAGAAACTGAAGTATGGATTTAACAGGACAGAATAACATAGACCAACAGGATAGGTACATCGGTTTGATCTTTACCTAAAAGATTTTTGGTTCACTAAAAGTTGTTTTTCTTTTAAAAAAATCGATGGATTTCACATGAAAAATCATTTAATAGCAAAGCTTAAAATTTGTTAAGAAGTATTATCCATACAAATTCAATTTTTCCCCAAGCAGTCAAGAGTTCTGTTATTCAAGGATTCAAATCGTGATTTAAAATATTAAAAATTCTCTATTTATCCTCCTTTTTTTACCTGAAGAATATTTCTAACTGAACTTGACAAAAAAGGTTTGTTTCTTTTCTTTTAAAATTAAGTGACTGAAAAAAAAGAGTTATGGGTTTTTAGTAAAATTTCAAGAAAAAAGAGAATTTCATAATCTGTTTCTTTTTGTTCCAGGTGAAAGGTGGTACCGGAGCAATCATTGAATACCATGGCCCTGGAGTAGATAACATCTCATGTACTGGAATGGGTACAATCTGTAACATGGGTGCTGAGATTGGTGCAACAACCTCTCTCTTCCCCTTCAACAAACGTATGGCTGACTACTTGAAAGCCACCAACCGTGCGGATATCGCGGAGCAAGCAGCTAAATTCCAGCATCTTCTCACACCTGATGAAGGTGCCCCCTACGACGAGCTCATCGAACTGGACCTTTCAACTCTGGAGCCCCACGTAAACGGACCTTTCACCCCCGATCTTGCTCACCCGATTTCTCAGCTCGGTGCTAATGCCAAAAAGGCTAACTGGCCTCTTGATGTCAAGGTAAATTTTTTGTTTTGATAGTCTTTTCTCAGTTTTCTTTCTTTGCCCTATAAAGATTTCTTAAACTTTGTCCCTTAACCTGAACTTTTTACGTATGAAGATGTAGTGAGCAACACCAACACAATAGGCTTTAAAAATATTCAGATGAGGAATTTGAAACCCTCATAAGTATGCGAAAGCAGGATACTACAGTGAAATAATTATGATGCAGTGATATTCTGTAAAAAAAATTTAAAATAAATAGCTCAATGCAATTGACCTTTAAACTTCGACCACCTTACATGGTTAGAGAACTAAACATCACGGTATCTACTAGTGTATGACAGAGGTTATTTAATGCTCTTATCTTTCTCTTAGGTTGGACTGATTGGTAGCTGCACCAACTCAAGTTATGAAGACATGGCTCGTTGTGCCAACATTGCAAAACAAGCCATGGAAAAGGGTCTGAAAGCAAAAAGCGCCTTCAACGTCACACCCGGTTCTGAACAAATCCGTGCAACAATTGAACGAGATGGCATCGCTCAAACTCTTCGTGAATTCGGTGGCACCGTCCTCGCCAACGCTTGTGGACCGTGCATCGGTCAGTGGGACCGTAAAGACATCAAGAAGGGCGATAAGAACACCATTGTGAGCTCGTACAACCGTAACTTCACAGGTCGTAATGACGCGAATCCAGCCACACATGCTTTTGTGACATCACCAGAGCTAGTAACAGCCCTATCAATTGCTGGAACTCTGGACTTCGACCCCCGAACCCACAAGCTGAAGGGTAAGGATGGCAAAGAATTCCTGTTGAACGACCCGTACGGTGATGAGCTGCCAGCCAGAGGATTTGACCCTGGCCAAGACACCTACCAAGCACCAACTGGTGGCGCTAGCGTCAAGGTTGATGTTGACCCCAAATCCAACAGACTGCAGCTTCTGGAACCCTTCGACAAGTGGGATGGAAAAGATTTGGAAGATTTGACCATCTTAATCAAGGTATTAAACCTTTTTAAATTTTAAGTGACAGTCTCAGGTCATCATAACTCCTCATATTTTGAGATATTATGACTGCTGAAGAACAGCTCTAAATTAATCGCTGAGACTGCTGTGATAAAAGCATTTTTAATACACCTCCATTGCTACCGGCTGACACTTAAAATTGAAGAGTGATATATTTGATTTCATTGAATATTTTTAGTAGCAAACTGTTACACTTATTTACATATTATACTCAGTATGACATGTTAAATAGGTATTTAGCAGTCAACTAGTTCTTAAAACAGTCTCTTGTGATAAGATATTTTCATAACTGCATTTTTATTTAAGTTTTTTTTTTCCTTTTTACTGCTGTATTTAGTCTTGAAGCCACAAATGTTGTCAATAAGTTTAACTAGAATTTAGAATCTAGTTTTACATAGGACATTTTTACATGCACTTCTCAGTTCTGAAATGTTTTCATTTTTATGAACGTTATTTGTTCCATTTTCATGTCTCAAAAACATTAACTCAAACATAATGGTTTCTGACATTCTACTTGTATGCGTGTGGAATTTGCAATCCCTTGTTTTGGTTAATCTAAGGCAAACATTTTCTTAATGTTCGCAGGTTAAAGGAAAATGCACAACTGACCACATCTCAGCTGCTGGTCCATGGCTCAAATTCCGAGGCCACTTAGACAATATTTCTAATAATATGTTCCTAACGTAAGTTTAACATCGTTCCTTTATTCCTTCAGAACCAACAAGCTCTTGTTAGATGCAGAATAAAACTGCTGGTTTAAAAAACTGTTTTTGGTTCAGATATAAAATTGAGATTTTTATTTTCATATTTTTCACTTTGTTTTGTTTTTTTTTTTTTTTAAATTTTTTTTTTTTTTTTTTTTTATCAAATCCTGAAAAATGCTGAAAACACAGCCGTAAACTCAAATTGGGGAATTTTCACTTCCAGGATCATTAATCAGCCAATTTAAGATGTTTTTAGTAAAACCCAAATTTTGATATTTTTTCTGTTATAGAGTGATTCATACCCTGACTAGTGGCTCAACGTTTTTCTAATAAAATACCATCAATTTTTCTCACAAAAAGCAATGTGTGTCTAATACAGGGATGAAATGAAATATAATGTGGAACATTCATATCCAACTTTAAAAAAAAAAAAAAAAAAAAAAAAAAAAAAAAAAAAAAAAAAAAACACCAATATAAAGCACTTTTATCAAAATCACCGCATTCTTTGCCAAGTTTTTCAACTGTTAGGCAATGTTTTCAAACTTTCACAAGCTCTCCAAGATTATATCTGCATGCTAGATTCATGAAAAGGTGACCATATCATTCATTCATTTCAAATTTTAAACGAAGGTTCTTTTCTTCATTTCAGAGCAACTAATGCCGAGAACGGTGAAATGAACAAAATCAAGAACCGTTTGACTGGTGAGTGGGGAGCTGTGCCAGACGTCGCTCGTGCTTACAAAAAGGCCGGTGTGAGATGGGTTGCTGTAGGAGATGAGAACTACGGAGAAGGTAGCAGTCGGGAGCATGCCGCCCTTGAGCCAAGACACTTAGGTGGCCGTGCAATTATCGTCAAGTCTTTCGCCCGAATCCATGAAACCAATCTTAAGAAACAAGGGCTGCTTCCTCTCACTTTCTCTGACCCAAAAGACTACGACAAAATTCAGCCAACAGACAAAATATCTCTCGTTGGACTCAAGAACTTAGCTCCTGGAAAGGTGAGTCTTCTGATAGTATGCTGCTGATTGTTTAATCGGGTAGGTTTAGAAACAAAATAAATCCAGGAAACATATCACCTTGATATCGTTGTGAATCCGATCTTAAATCTTAATCAAGCAGAAGAAAATTGAGGGGAATTTAAAGTTTCAGTAAGAGTGAAATTCGTTTAAAATGAACTGATCACTGATAATAACTTTTCCTTGCTCGGTTAGAGTAGCATAGACACACTGAAAATTTGAGATCCTCTAAGCAATTTTGGAAGGCAATTACCTTTTTTTATTTCTCTACCGATTTGCTTAAAAGAGATGGAGCAAATTGCACATTTAGCCGTGAAATCAGGTTCTTTGATAAAAATTTGACTTTCTAATCAGAAGTTTTACCACCAAGCAAAAACACTTAATTGAAAAAAACTTTTGGTGTTTGGAAACGTTGTGCACCCTACAAGGAATGAGTGCTACACAGACCTGAAATTTTCTGGGAGAATAAATTTTCTAGAAAGTAACAAGATGGAAGTTTTTTCGAAGATTGATAATTTATCAAAAATCTTCAGTTCTTCGTTGTCCAACGCCTCCAAACTTTAATTATAGAAAGCATCCTTGTATACTTTTTTGGATCAGGAAAAGCCTTATTAGGCTCAACATGTCCATTGCTCATGTTTTCAGCAAAATGTTAACCTGTTAGTATTTGTTCTCTTAGATGCAGTAAAATTTAAAGTCAGTGACAATTACTGATGATGTTTGTCACAATGCAGGTGTTAAAATATTTTGGAGCCGAAACGTAGATGCTTCCCTCATTGGTCGCAATTAGTGTCTCTTTTAACAGGGTATTTTTACTGGAAATGAGGTTTTCCCTTTCCATGAAATTTTCTGTTTTTATGGAATGAAGCATCATGGCTATGATACCATGTCAAAATCTTTACTCTTAAAGATGCTTTATACCCAAATCTCGTTTATTTAACTTCATTTCTTGAGTTTCAAGCCCTTTGTTACTCACATAAGATCACTCATCAATTTTTGTGTATCTTTTCAGCCTGTCAAAGCAATCATCAAGCACGAGAATGGATCCACGGAAGAAATTCATCTCAACCACACGATGAACGAACAGCAGATCGAGTGGTTCAAGGCAGGATCTGCTCTCAACAGAATGAAGGAGATTGCCAAGAAGTAAACCACCTAACTTTAGTTAAAATTAGCTGTCTTGACTTGAGACAATGCTGCACATTACCGTACACACCTCTAGTATCTAATGGAAGAACACTCTTCCGCAATCGAAGAAGCTGACCAGACAGCAGTGGCGATTCTTGAAATTTGGCAACATGTTTTTCCTCCTTTTAAATTCATGTACAACAATCGATGCTTAGTGAGAAAAATTGCTTCACCTAAAGTCCATGTTTATAATGGATTCAAATGGAGGAAAAACAATGTTGCCAGTTTTCAAGAATTGCCACTGCCAGATGGAAGGAGGTATATTGTCTCACATTTTTAGCACACAATCAGCCAATATAAAGAAAATTAAAAACAAGAGATAGAAAGCAAAATGTCTTTAATCATTTCATTAAGTAATTTTAATATTTGTTGTATGTATTCTTTTGGATGGTTTAATTTTACGCCTAATAATAATACGCCTCTTCAGTATTGCCAATTTAAATATCCGAGAGGTTCTCAGGTCGGACAAGAATTCAACCCTCTCTATCATGAGTATCTAAGTTTGATAAGTCAGTGCATCTTTTCTTGTTTTTTATAAATAGCTGATAGGCAAATCAGAAAGATCAAGAAAGTTTAAAGCTATTTCAAAACAGGGAGAAAATGAATCAGAATGGAAGTAGATTTTGAAATTTTTTGATAAATTTAAAAAGTGAGAGCTCTAATTTCTCCCTATAAATTTTTTGCTTGAGCTGAAAAGTTTGACAAATGCCTCCTTCTTTCTACAAAGCCTCAAAATAATTCAAGTTCAATACTCTTTTAAAATTTAGTAGCGAGGCTGGATGGCAAAAATACCCTGATTTTCTCATTATTTTAGGATTTTAACCAGAAATTTTTCTCATCCAGCTGGTCATGCTTTGTTCCTCAAAATTTAACTTTCTTTAAGTTCGCAACTAAATGTTTTGTGATACCCAGACCTTCATTGTTCAAACCATTAATCAGCAGTCGAGGAAAAAGTAGTTTCCAAGCGCTAATTATACGAGTGTCTTATAACTTTGTAACAAATCCATACTTTTTACAAAGGAGACGATTTCGAATCCATTCCGCATTTTTGCCTCAATCCTCTGTAAGTCTAACGATCTATCATTTTCTACCGCAAGCAGATTGTCCCCTAGGTGTTTTATTATCAAAATCTTAGGAACGAATTTTAGCTGTAAATTTTAATGCTGGTATTACCACTTTTAGAATAATGTTGAGTCAATTTTAAGTTTATTTTTAACTTGTTGATTATTGTGTATAATATGTAAGTAAAATGTTGTGAACTTTAGTAACTATTGAGGGTAATGTGATTCAGACCACCTTTTGATCATTTTAAAGGGTACATATTCACGATTGCAATGATTTCCCTTGACTGAAAATGAGTATCCCCAAGACTCTCCTGTGAGTATGCATAAATTTTAAGTAAATTCCCATCACATGCTCTTCCAATTGTTTCCGGTTCGGATGAAATACAGGCCTGTATTTCTGGAAAACGTTGCTATGCATGAAAATATCCTGCAACCTTCCAGCATCAATTTTTTCGAAAGGGTGAACAATTAGAAGGAACCATTAAAGGTAGATTCAAAAGTTGAAACCTGTACCATCAAGGAAGAAAATAATAAAAAAATGATGTTATTTTCTATCACTTTTCTCAATGTTTTTTTCCATCCTTCACCCCTCTGAAAAAACGATGGCATCTGGCTCACTGCTCTGATGATTTTCCATTCTCAAGATCACTTTTCAAAATGTTCGCACTTTAACTTTTTTAAGAGCGACATCAAATTTTCTGGGCATAATCTCTCTTCTCTTTCTTTTTCTATCGCTCTTCTATGAAAACATTTCAGCCAAGCAAATGATTTGCTTTGCAATGTAAGTATAGCTACCTATACTAGCAGGTGCGTTGGCTGATCACTCTATTTCTATTTTCTGGACGAAAACTTGTATGCACACCTTGGAGGAAGTTTTCACTCTCGATCCATTAGGGTAGGTGGGCACGTACTTAATCCTCTTTAATTGAGAGGCTTTCATGGAAGTCACCATTTTCTTGGATAATTCTAATCTAGTCTGAGTCTTTGATGCCTGACCCGTAGGAAGTCAGAAGTAGTAACTAAATTGGTGAGCTGCTGTTAATTTTTTATTAAGTAACACTCATAAATCTCTGTGTGCTGAACAAACATTTAAACTTATGGAACTTATGGAGGGACTTATGGATGAAGTAGTCAAAATTGTTCATTTTTTTTCCCGAAGTGGGTTAAAAATTGTGATAAGTGTCCAGTTGTAGCCCATGATGCAAGAGAACTTTGAACTAGGGATGTCGATACTCAGGGAAGTATCGATACTCGGTATCGATACTGGTATCGACTCTAAGCATCGATACCGGTATCGATCATCGAGCTGAAGTATCGATACTTATGAGGTATCGATACCATCGATACTATTTCTGAATTATGCCGTGATTCTGAGTATGCATTTGTTTGTCGGCCGTTAAATTCCGCCAGATTTACGCCTCTCTCGAAAAAGCCCTGTTCGCGTCCTTAGTCAACTATTTTGAGCCCTTAACTACAGTTATCGAACTGAGCTTTAACCATTTATATTGAAGTACCTATAATCATCTTGAGAAACTTGACAACTCCGTCGTTTGTCACAGTGCATCATGAAGGTGAAATTAGGGTGAAATAGCGGGGAGAGAATTTTTTAAAAAAGAAAAAGAGGCCTTCTTTATGGCCAAATCAGATTAAGTATCGATACCGTCGATACTGGGGTCTTGGTATCGATACTGCATGGTATCGATATCGTGGAGTATCGATGCCGAGTATCGTTAAGTATCGATCGAAAGTATCGATACTTTGCAAGTATCGGATAAGTATCGACATCCCTACTTTGAACTCAAAATTGAGGCAAGAAAATGAGCTCAATTGGTACATTCGGTCATGCGTATAAGTACCTACACAGACATGAATTTTACTGGAGAGTACATGAGCTATTATTTCCGTGTCTCACAGAAACTTTACCTTTCAACTTTATGTCCATTAGTTCATGAAGCACCATAAAATGGGTGTAATGATGATAAAATTATGATTGTTTCTATCGGAGGGTCAGTTCTCGTAATACCCAATTTTGGAATTGATGCCGTGATTTGTCATCATGGAGGAGGTTGCGGACAATTTTCGATTAATTTGCTTGATTTTTATTTTAAATGACAAGTCTGATCGCCCCCGGCGAACAGTGTGCCATAACTTGCAGGGTGTAGGTGTAGGTAAAAACGACGAATAATAAATAGGGTTTTGGCCCCTCAAATACGAAACATGGGGGGAGGAGGGATGGTTGGTAAGAGACTATAACCAAATTTTAGATCTCTTTCTGTGAGAGGTAGAATGATATACTCTTTCATTCGTCTCAAAATCTTCCAATCAATGTTGTACGTCTAGATCAACAATAATTCGTATTAAACAATTTGAATGATGATCTAGCTTTAAATGAATTTGATGGAAACGTTAGTATCGCGTTGTCACCAGATTGCCTGTGTGGTGAGCATGTACCATGTAAACAAACAATTTTTACAACCTATTTTTCCAATTATTCCTCTATTCGAACAAAAGGAATCTTAACCGCAAATTATGAACCAGACGCTTTGATTGGTCCAGAGCGGTTCATTTCAATAATTCCGAGTTGAACCGAAACAAGCGGGAATTTCAAATAATTCCGGATATCCTGTCTACCAAATCGTTTCCGTTTCCGTTAAAAAATGTTGTCAGTTTTACGAGCATTTGATAAATAAAACTGACAACACCGCTTTACCGGAAACGGAAACTATTTGGTAAACGGGATATCCGGAATTATTTGAAATTCCCGCTTATTTTGGTTCAACTCGGAATAAATGGAATGAACCGCTCTAGACCAATCAAAGCGTCTGGTTCAGAATTTGCGGTTAAGATTCCTTCTGTTCGAAAAGAGGAATAATTGGGAAAATGTAGCAATTTGAACCAATCACAGGGCACACCTGGCAACCCCGCACCGATCGAGGTTATGGGCGTTTGAGTTTAGCAGAGATTCCTTCTTGGCTTAGAAGGTTAGGGATGACAAAAATCCTGCCGCAGATCATCAGTAAGCAAGAGCGTTTCACCGATGCGTCTCTACTCTCAGCTCTAGTGGAGAAAGAAAGAACTTTATTTGCCTTATGTACTGGCAAATTCGATATCTCTATATCAATCGGCGTAGCTAAGCGGTAAGGCACTCGCCCCATGACCCGATCGATCACGGTTCGCGCCCTCGCGGTGAAAACATTTTAACGCCTTGATCATATTTATAAATGCCGCGTAGGGCATCGCAGGGTTATTTTTTCCAAAAAATCTGAGTGAGGATTGCATTTTGATTGAAACGTAATCGAAAAGGGCTCCTCTTGCTTCAGAGAAACTTCTGAACCCAAGGTCCAGGGCAGAGTTAAGAAATTTCATGAAAGATTACAAAAAGAAATTTCA